TTGCCAGTGTAGGCGTAGACGTAGCGGGCGTAGGCGATCTCGCCCTTGGCCGTCGAGTTGACGCAGTGGATCTTGGAGCTGGCGAGCGAGCGGAGACTTGGGACACCGAACTTCTCAGCCAGGGTGTACACGCGCGCGTGCTTCAGCAGCTGCGTGCCGTCTACATCGACATCGGGACTCGAGGGGTCTTGCTCGAGTGTGCGCGAACCGGCAACCTTGCGGGGGAAGTACTCTCCTGTGTAGAGGAACTCGAGGAAGCATCCGACCGCGTCGATGTCTTCACCAACGAGCTCAACTTGGCGCGGCTGTTGCGCATTGAGTCAGTAACGTCGGGGAAATGCAGAATGCGCCGGGTGAATGCCGCAACGTGGGAGGACCACTTACGCTACCATCGTCGCTGAACTGGGCGCAGGCCTCCTTGAAGAAGGGGCTTTGCACCAGAAGCGCCTGATGAGCTGTAACAATTGCTTCCGACTCGCCCTGCCCGACCAAGAGGGTGACGACGGGGCTGGACAGGTAGCTGACGAAAGTGGTGCGCGGCTCGACGGGGTCGCTCTCGCCGCCCTCGGCAAAGGGGAGTTCCTCAGCGTTGGCATCGCCCTCCTCGGCCATCTCGACGTCGGCGCCAGGATTGGCAGGGGCGTCCTCAACAATCTCGACGTCGTTGTTGAATTCTTCGGCCATTGTAACTGGTTCGGTCGCGAGTGTGCCTGGTTTTACTTGAGAGAGTGATTCGATCAGACTGCGTCGGGCAGCACGGTTTGTCGCGACAGCAATCGGTCAATTGATCGCGTAGACGGTTGGAACAGATCGGGCGCGTAAAGACAGGCGTAAAAGAACGTGGCGGGCGTCAATGTCTAGATTGAATTGAGATTGAATCAACGACAAGCGGGAGTTGGGAAGAGAAAGTCTGTCCAGGTTCCAGATTGGGGGGGGCACGGGCGAGGCGGCGGAGCTCTGAGCTTCAAGGTAAGGGAAGGTAGGGAACCAAGCTGGCTGCAGCTGCCTCCGCCATGCGCACGGTACCCGTTAGAAGCGGGTCTGAGTGGTTCCGTTCCTTTTCCACAGGCAACATGCGACTCTGGGCAGGCACACCCCATCCAACTTGCAGACTTTCTCCAGTGAGTGTTCCTGCCAAGCGTAACGCGACGCGATACCTTGATACAGGTACCCAAGTAACCTATCGATAAGCTTTAATTTGATCGCCATTTATCGATGAGCCACTTTTCGCACGCGATCCCTTGTAGGTAGGTAAGGTAGGTAATTGGGTTGAGGCACATGTCATCGCATCTTAGATCCCTACCTCTATCCAGGAAGAAACAGCAGTTGAGACGAAAGTCAATGTTCATATTGTCGCGTGGCGGCATTCGCATTCAGAGAACAGTAAACTTGTCAACAAAGTCGATTGCCAAGGGATTGTTAAAGATTACACCAGCACCCACCACCATCGTCGTCTTCAACTCAAGCAAAAGGAGCCTCAAAAGTTATATTCAACACCAAGGAGATAGCCCCGCTCCATTAAGAGTGTACTTTGTACCATGAAGCGAATCGGTATCAGACGTAACATACCCAGAAGTACACCGTTGCAATGCAATGTGATGATGCGCTCTTGCTCCTTCAAATGCCACAACCATGCTGCAAACACAGTGACCTATCCCATTGCCCTCAGGTCTTCTCATTATGCCCTCCTCATTTCCATTGGTTTTCCTGTCCGGAGTGCGCCGACTCTCTAGGCTTCCTGTTCAACGACAGATTCGGTATACTGGGATGTATGAGCCTCAATGGCTGCTCCTGCTTCAGAACCTCCCAGTGCTTCTTCAGCGTATCTTCTCTGACCACCAGCTCAAAGTTCGCCAGGAAGCAAAAACTAATCTCCAAGCGCGCCAACTCGACGTCGCTAACGCCTCCAACTTTGGCAATCTTGCTGTGCGGGTAGCTGAGGTCTTCCAACGCCTTCATTGCCACCCGAAGTCCCGCTAGAACCAATCGATGCGCATTTCGCCGCGTCACAGGAATCGCTCGTTCGTCAACGGCTAAGCGGTGGATATACAGGCTAGTAGCAAGGTACACAGCAGTGCTCATCGGGCACCATTGGTGGATTCGCGCTAGATATTCGTCGATACCAATGGGCGGCGGTTTCTTAGAGTAGAACTTGCGCGTGATTGCACTATGCTGAAGATTAATCGGCTGCGAGTTCTCCCCAATTATTATATGTGGTTCGGGTGCTTTCGGTGGCGGTGGTGGTGTCGGCGATTGTGTCTGCCGCAGATGGACACCGTCTATTAATTGTGGTGTCGAGCTACTCGAGCCGCTCATCTGGGACATCATCGGTGGTCGACGAGGCGAAGACGCTGAAGCTGCGGCTGCAGCCTCAGCCTCCTTGCGCATGCGAGCCAGGTTCTTTTGTGAGCTTGTGCGAATGAGCTCCTTCTCTGCCGCCATTCCTCGCATATTGGGTAGTGTCGGGCTTGTAGGAGGTGGTGTTGGAGGAATATCGCCTGTTATCTTCACGAGAGCCTCGATTCCACCGCTCAAGAGCTTCATCGCCGCCCTAGGCGATAACTTGAAGACATCGGTGTTTTCGGGGACATTCGGGGGGCTATCGCAGTCGGCAACGCTCAGTCGCGGATCGGATGAAGGGTTCGGCGGCGGCGGAAGGTCGGGGACGGCGCTCGCGTTCGAGTCTGTCTGCTCCAGAGGCAGGCCCTCCTCAACAGGCTTCGGAGTCATCCCTGCGGTGCTCTGGTGTTGGTCCTGGGGGACACACCGGGGACGGCTATAAGGCGACAATGACGTCGGGTTAGGGTACGAGAGTAGTGTCTCGGTGTGTTCGGCGTGGGCAACAGCGAGCATCTAACGCTTCGAGAAAACAAATAATCATAAGCAAAAGCCCCGACGGGAGCCGTGTGATGTGTGTACCGTTGAGCTATTTCACACAACTTTCATGGCCCAAACTACTATCTTTGCACAGTTGCAGTTCCCTCGGCCAGATTCGGCTTGCGGGGGTCGGAATATGTCGCGGGGAGGCTCTTTCGCAGGTGGCCCCCAAATGGTCTGGCCCGAATGGCGTAGTTTCGAGCCGTTCTAAGACAAGCTAACAGACTTGGTCCTTGGAACAAAAGAAGGAACTTGGCGTGGAATCGTGGTTCGACTAGTAGGATGGAATTATCGTCGTTCGGCCGCGAAATATGAAAGGGCGAGCAGATGGGCAAGCTGGTGATCGGCGCAAGGTGATATTTCACCAAGGGTGTCTCTTGGTGGTCAAGAGGGGCTCGAAAAGGTCGGTCAATATTAATGCGGTGCGGCTGCACGTCTCGTTTGGGGGGTTAGAGCAAAGCAAGTGGTTCGGTTGGCAATGTCTCGCTCGGAGCAATATCGTTGGTGGTGGTATCGGTGGTTCGTGGTGGTGGTCTGGACCGACAAGGTTGAATTACTGGTAAAGGTGCTTGTGACAGAGCACAATCTTTTTGCTGATCTCGAAGCTAGTGCGGGGAACTGCAGGCATGCGGTAGGCGAAGAGAGCCCAAAAGACACGGCATCCCCGTTGCGGTGGAGGGATCGGCGATCGTCTGAAGTCGAGGACGCTACAAAGTGCTGTATTAATGGCCAAACACACTGCAACTGCAGGTAGGTGGCAGACCAAACAACGATGAAGGCCGGGAAAGAGGACGGCTTGGAGCTGCAGGCGAAGCGATGCGCTGAGAACAAATTGGGTGCCACCTGCAAGAAAAGCAAAAGGCTGGGCAGGCCGCAGAACAGCAGACTATGGGTGGCGTTTGCCTGATGGGATTTGGAGCTGGTGCGATGCAGCGGACGTCGCCGGTGCAAAGTGTACAAGCAGGGAAGCGTAGGTAGTGCCGCACAGGGGATGGAAAGTCGTATTATTCTCTGCGGAGGCGACCTGACTGGGAACGCGCTTCAACAAGCCGTGCAGTTTGTGTACTCGAGCAGATAGCGGGGGACAGACGGGCTGAATAGACCGACGGAAGAAATGTTGTAGTAGTTTGGCGGGCAAAAAAATTGCGGTATCAGTGGATGACCACCTGATGAGTCGACAAGTACTCCAAGCTGGTGGTGGCTGGCTGACTTGTTGATGGGGCGAGAGAGGAGATATGCAGGAACCACGACAGGAGGTGAGCCGAGGTGGCGAAGAGGATGGCCAAATAGTAAGAAGAATGGGATGATAACGGAAGGGCTAGTGCGCTGCCTTAGCCAGATGGGCACCTATCGAATGTGTATTGATGAATTTGCTGATCCTAGGTCGTCGTGGACGTCCCCGGTTATGTGTCGATCGTGGTCTGCGTCTGCATCTGCATGTAATGTTGTCGAGTGCGCCGGGTCGGGATGGGAGTCCGGGACATTTTAATGAGCGGTTGAAATTTTGGAGAAATTTCATTGTTCGGAAGGAGGCCGGGATTTTGGGAAGGCGGACGTGGAGGTGGAGGTGGAGAGGCAGGCACGCAGGTTCCACAGGCCGAGGATGGAACTGCGTGAAAGTACATACCGGTACATACTCCGTAGAGGCAGTCCCTTCCTTGGTGCCCGCTTGCCCGTATTGCCTTTTCCCCATCCTTGTTCTTGCCATCCTTGGTGCCTTCCTCGAGTTTTCTGTTTTCCTTCCAATTTTGAAGTGAAGCTTACACCTTCCCTCCAGCTCCTCTACCTAAGGTATGTCCCGGTAGGTACCTAGGTAGGTTGGTATGGTAGGTACCTTATGGTACCTCAAGGCATGTATGTACGTACACAGTCATCCATCCATACCTTACATGGATCTCAAGAAGGACCACAGAAACAACGCCTGCTGACTTGGAATTGACACATTTTGCTCGCACACTCTTACACACACGAACAAGATGGCAGCCGCGCCCTCGAATTTGGGTTTACATCGCCTCGCATCGGGCAGAACGGCTGCAGAGATAGCTCGGCTCCCGCGGTGACGGTTCAAATTCTCGTGTAATAAGTGAGGGGCTCCCTGGCGACGGGACATGACTAAGATGCGATTAGGTGCCCGTTAAGGCCCGATAGCAGATGGGTTGCCCTGATATCAACGGAATTTCATTCACCCAAGCACAATGCCTGCGGCTACCTTACATTGCGGAATTTGATAGGTTGGAGACACGCATAAGGCACCTGTATGGTGTTGTCTTGCAGGTGGCATCCGCTCGCCCTTTCCTGCCTTGCCCTGCAGTGGTCCCTTCCTCGTTCTCAGTCTTGTCGCAAACCTGGAGTGTGTGCTTCCTCCAAATCCCCTCAGCGGGCACCTTCCATCCATGTGGTGTGGTGATGAATTTGAGCAGGGGTTCGACAGAGCTAAGAGCAGCACAGACATTGGCCTGGCCGGTTCTGTGCCCCCACCCCTCACCCCCCCCCCCCCCCCCCCCCCCCCCCTCCCCCCCGCGACCCCTTCAGACCGTGGGGGGGGGTGGGTATTGTAGGGGGGGGTCCGCACAGGAAAGAGGGCCCAGGCCCCGTGCCGGGGCCGGTCTGTGGCCCCCCCCCCCCCCCCCCCCCCCCCCCCCCCGTTTTATTTTGGAGGCAGGCGCCGATGGTGGCTCAAAGTGGAGTTTTAGGGGTCCCTTTTTTGCTTGTCAAATGACCAGATTTGATGCACGAGCCCCCGGATAATTGAGGCAGGCATCACTGCAGGCTCTCGAAAGCTGACGAAACGCTCTTCCAGATCTTCTAGGCTTTCTATCCACACCGAGCTTGACTGGCTGGTTGGTGGAGCTTTTCAATAATGTGTCTTGAATTGCCATTGATTTTTTTTCTGCATCTTCCCACGCCGCTGCAGATTCGATGTGACGGCAAACTGACGATAATGATACGAACATCCAATGTGTCCCTGTCCAAACGACCCATCGGTGGCAAACACATCGAAATCTCGGCTACACACCACACCACTTCCTTCTCCCGACTCTGTCGACTAACATGGCATCGAATACTTACCTACCCCCAGGCTTGTGCCGCAAAACCCACCCATCCATCCCCTGATTATCATCCATGGCCAGTTAGGCTCGTCGCGTACATCACACACCACGCAGACTAGCCATGATTCTGGCCGGCTTCTCGGGGAGATCTACCCGCTGGGTTAGGGGAAGTCTAGGTCTAGGTCTCGCTGCTACTTGGGCTCCTTTGGCCTCCTTTGGCCTCATTCACCGTTGCCCGCAGCCTATTGCAGCGATGATAACGGACAGCTCTCATATTCAACAATACCATCTCAACAGGACCCTCCGTCTATGTGGCTACTAATGTCGGAAGCTACCCAGCGAACATGATCCCATCGCGAAGCTAGATGACAAGTCGCGGCCGTCGATGGATTTCTTGCAGCATCTCTAGAGTCTTACTTACACCCGAGGGTCACCCATGCTCGCCCGACGACGTTCCGAGCGCTATTGTATCCCAATCAAACTTCAAATGCCCGGTCACTCTCTATTCTGCCGGGTGAGCCCCGCGACGATCCATCTACGTCTGCGAAAACAAGCGTTCAATCTACCAGGTCATGCTCTATCAGCCTGGTGAAGATACCTCATGCCATTCGCTTATACCGGTCTTGTACCTTCACCATTCCGTTTTACTTCGTCAACGCTATATCTATGAACCCAGGGTCACTTTGATATCCAAAACAGCGGTCTGACCGCCTTGCACCGTCTCAATAGCCTTCTTCAGCACACCATCAAGATCCGCCGCGTTGTCTACACGAGCAGCAAACAGGTCTCCACCCGCGGCCGCCTTGGCGATGCCGGCATAATCGGGTGCCGGGTCGAATGAGATGTTGATCTCTTCGTTGGTCGCCCTGGAACCTTCACCATCAGGGTGCACCAAAAGAAGTGACCGCCTGGGGGCGTTCCATCCTATCGTCACATCAGCTTTCGTTTCAAACTCGCCAGAAGGATTCGTTGACCACTTACCCTTGTTATTCAGAATAATCGTCAGAATAGGGATATTGTATCGCTTGGCGATCCAGTATACGCTACCTGGCACAGAGAAGAGGAATGTGCCGTCGCCAACAATTTGCACAACAAACTTGCCCTTGTTGTTGCCACCGTTCTCAAAGTCGGTTGCCAGCTTGATACCGAGAGCGCCACCGCCAGACCATCCAAGGCCACCGCCACCGCAGTTGATCCAAGATCCGGGCAGTGTGGGCTGAAGATTGTCGTGGACGAAAATTGTGTTTGTCACAGCCTCAATGGCCCAGATGGTGTCCTCTGGACACAGCTTCTTCAGTGACCGGGTAAGGTGGCCAGTGCCGAACTCGCCATCCGCCTTGGGCTGCGCCTTTTCCTCGATCTTGGCAAGAAGTTGCTTGTGAGACTCCTTGACCTTTGCCTCGCGCTCCTTGGCTTCCGCAGACTCAAGTTGAGCAGCATACTGCCCCTTTAAGTGTGCAGTAATCTGTTCAATTGACACCAGGCTGCTCGCTCGGTATCTCGACTGGGCGGCGATGTAGAAGACGGGCATTTGCTGCTTGAGCGGGTCGACATCAATATGGAAAATCTTGGCGTCCTTCTTGGGGTGGCACAGAGTGTTGATCCACGGGACGTCGCAGTCGAGAACGACAATGACATCGGCAGTGTTTACCGCGTCCTCAATACCAAATCGAAGTCCCAACCAGCCAGGGTGGTCTGCGGGGAAGCACATGTCGCTACCACCCGTGTCAACAACGCGCAGGCCCTTGACGGTGTTTGCGAGTTCCACGAGAGCGCCAGGGAACTGGTGGTCTCTGCCGCCAAATCCAGTGACGATGAGGGGCTCTTTTGCACCGGCCAATGCCTCGGCAATCTTGTTGACGGCGTTCTTGGGAAGACCTCCGAGCTCAACGGGGTCCCAGTCCTCTTGGCGAATGCTGTACGGTTCGACCTCAGCCTCCATCACCTCTCTAGCACCGCAAAGATATACGGGCCCTTGAGGGTCTGACTTGGAGAACTGAAGGGCGCGATTGACCATCTGCTTGACATTGGTTGCTGTCTTGAGCTCGCCAGAGTACCGGCAGTATTGCGAAACGATTTGCTTTTGATCAGGGACATCCTGAATCCAGTGGATGTACTCTGTTCTGCTGCCTCTCATCTCGCCTTCGATAGTGAAGGGAGACAGACCGGCAAACACCAAAACGGGCGCGCGGCCGCATGACGAGTTGTGAACAGCAGCGCCGAGACCTTGCGTTCCTACATCGACGTGGACAATAACACATTGCGGCTTTCCTGTCAGGCGAGCGTAGCCGTCGGCCATGGACATGGCGACCATCTGGATACCTCATTAGCACATGCCCAAGTGGACGCACGCGGAAGAGACGGAGTTTCATTACTTCATTGGGACATGTGATGATTCTGGGGAAGTTCCCCTTTCGCTCCCTCTGACCCTTGACCATGGCTTCGATAATACTGGGGTGGTCAGAACCCAGGTTCACGAAGCAGTGGGTGACGCCGGCATCCCATAGCGCCTCAAAGAAGGCGAAAGACGCGGTATACATCTCGGTTGATTTCGAAGAAAGGTTCCTGGCCTGTTGGATGGTGGCCTTGAACTCATCCTCGACAAGTGGCCGAGAGCTGGTAGGCTTTATACCAGCACCCGCATGAGAGGATGATGGTGATGTTGATCCCCCACTTCGATGCAGTGGGGCAGCGGATGAGAAACCGGCAAGTTGACGAGCAGGGCCGCCGACAACGGCTATGCTGGGCGCCAATGTCTGGTTGAAGCGGACTAATTTCCCTGGACGCCCACCTGCAGGGCCGAAGCTGCGCAAGCAACGTGCCATTGGCACCGGCAATTGTCTGAAAGGCATGGTGAAGAACGGCAATAACGGGCCAACTAGCCAGCCAGCAGTGTGTATTGGAGGGGGGCGGGGTAGGTATCAACAAGTGAGGTGGATGTGTGTGTGTGTGTGTGTGTGTGTGGTTGACTACTTCACAGTGTTATCAAACAACTCTGAGGGAGGGGAAGAGTCTCGCTTGGCAACTGCGTCAGTACTGAACAGTCTAGTACCTGGGAGTCGTCGAGCTTGTGTGGCACACTTCAAGCAAGCTGGGGATGAACGACTCGACCGATCACCGGTGTATGGGATACGGGGTTTGACCGATGACGCGCCGCGGCGGAGAAGTTGCACAATTCTGGAGACTCTGTATAGGCTTCGTCCTCTGAGCTGAAGCCTGATGGGGGTAGTTTGACTGAAGTCAGTCGGGACTGGGCCTCCCGTGACGGGCGACATAGACGAGTTTATACGCCCGGAACTGGGATCGTTCCACAGACCGACCGCCGGCCCAAGCTTGTTCCCCAGAAAAGGGAGCATCACGCCCTTGCGGCCCCCTTGGGCTAACCCCGCAATCGGCCCAGGGCCCGGTTTCATAGGGCGCTTGTTGTCGGCTCACTGCAGGGTAGGCGACACAGCTCCATAGCCGCTCACCCTCATCGTGTTTAGTCCCGAGAGAAGGGAGCACAAGGCGCCGTGGAGGGACATGTACAAGGGTTGAGGAGGAGGAGCGAGAGGTTGATAAGAGGAGATAGCCGTTGAGATGACATGGCAGCATGCAAGCTTCATCCCTGAGTGAAGCCGTTCGTGAGGTGAGCTGAATGATACGGCATGTACATAGGCACGTCTCTTATCAAGATGGGATCTCAAAGCCAAATGTCCCAACTTCCCTACTTGGGGACTTGTGTGTCAAACACCGCTCTGGGCCGAGGATTACCGCGACCCAGCCCCAAACAAGACGTTTTGAGGTAAACCATGGGCTAAGAATCCCGATTCTCAAGTCCCCGTCTCACAGCACAGGAGTTCCCCGCAGCAGTGCGCGCGTCCGGGCGTTCCCTGCAGCACCCAGCTGATGCGTCGAGCTTGTGCGGGGTGCAGGCGGTGTTATCTGGTGGCTTTTACTATTAGCTAAGAGGATCCGCTCGGCCTTTGAGCTTCGATGCAGAGAAGCCCGAATCTAAAGCAATGGAAAGGCGGGTACGAGGCATAGCTCAATTGATGTTGTAGCTAATTCATCTTGTAGCTGGCAATACTATTTAGTGTTATTTTCATCTTCAAGTGTCATCCCATGACTAAGTCACGTTGCTCTGCACGTCCCATGTACAACCACATTCATCCATCTTGCCTCAATGCATCCGGCCAGATCCATCCAAGCACAGAACCAACGCCAAAAGCAACAAGGCACGTCAAGATCATCGTCGCCATGAGGCCCGCATAGCTCGTCTTCTTCGGCACTGCCACCGGCGGTTTCGCCGTCCTCCTCCCCGCCGAAGCCTGTCTCGTCGCAGTCGGCCTCGCCGTCAAGAGACTCTCCCACGAATACACCGTCGGCGCCGTCGGCGTGCCGTACAACGTCGTCTCCTGCTTATCCATCGTCTGATACCCGTACCCCGTAGTGCTAGGCACCGCGCTCGGCGTGCTCGTCGTCACGGCCGTCGATTCGCCCGACCAATCGTGCCCGTCGAACGCTTTATACCACGACCACTGCGAGTCGGGGTCGTTCCAGTCCGCGAGGATACCGGGGCACTCGTTGAGGCAGTTGAAGAGCCCCGCGCCCGTGCCTTGCTTCTTGTTGCCGTGCTCGTCTGCGAATTTGAGGCCGCAGGTGCGGAAGCAGCCGTACGAGGAGCAGGGGAGGGAGTACCACGGTTTCAGCCAGCCGCCGTAGGATTCCCATGCCGTCCAGTCTTTGATGTCTGTGTTTGTGAGGGTGAAGTCTGGGGAGGATTCGACGCCGTAGTAGTTTGTTTGGATTTCGGAGCCGTTGAAGGCCATGGCTGTTATCTTGTAGGACTCGGAGGGGCCGAGGTCTTTGGGGATTGTGATTTTGGGTTTGGTCGTGCCCATTGGGATGAAGTCGCTTAGGTAGCCTGCCAGGCGACCCCTTGTCAGTGATGCACTTTATCGGTACTGCGCAAGGCGCAAGGATACTGAGGTAGGAAGAAAGGCCCTCTTACAGGTGTACATCCATTCCTCGGTGTACAGGAATAGCTGGTAGTGCTCGTACAGCATGTCATGGCCGCAGCCGACGTCCTCGTCTATTGGATTGCGGCATACCGCCACGATCTCGTCAAAGACTGGCCCGGGGAGGGTCTCGTAGACGAACGGCTGTTTCCAGTAGTCGAAACCGATTTCGATTTCCGTCTCGACGCCAGCTTTGATCTCGGAGGGAACGGTGACGTTCAAGGCGTGCGCTGTTGAGAGGAGAGTCATGAGGAACGCGAGGAGGGTGTCGGGAAGGGCCATGGCTGCGGTGGTGGCGATCAGTTATCGTGATCGCGATCGTGGAGGTCGAGTGTGAAAGCCGGTAGTCTCTCACGTGTACCAGGCGTTGAGCGAGTGGACGAGAGGCGAGCGCTCCCTTGGTGCTGGCGACGGCAGCGAGTGCAAGTGTGGATGATGGAGGAAAGAGGCCATCGTGAAGAAAACTTGTGTGACGGCTGATCGTGTTGATGCGAAGGATCGGGATGCTAGACAGGGGCCGATGGGATTTCCTTAGCTCCTTCCTGCTTGGTCTGCGCTAAAAAATAAGCCTAAGTACTTTGGTTCCTGGTGGGGTCCCCGAAGTCGCCCGGAATCGGGCCCGGAAGTGGGTCTGTTTTCGGTGCATGGTCTGGGGGAGGTCGGGGCGAATTGCGGTGATGCGTCCTCGCAGCTTTTGTACACTGGTCGCTGACCATCGACGAACTTTTGATTGGGTTCGTCATTTGTTTCACAGCTTCGTGGTATGCGATGAGAAGGTAAAACCATCGGACGACAGCAATCAGTCAAGGGTTACACTAACTTCGATGTAGCACTCTTGGGATTCTTAATGCGGTCGCTCCTGAGCATTGAAACCCTGAGGATATAGTACGCTACAAGTAAGTCAGTCTATAAAGAATGTTCCGTCACATTATGGCCATAACAGCCGGGAAAGACTGGCCTCGAGTGTTCGGGGGTCTGCTTCAATACCACCCCGCTCGCATCGGACTGCCGCATGATGCTTGGAGCTCGAGTCCTTCACACTGAGCTCCAACCTGGAGCTCCGCACGACCCGGTTTGCATGTTCAGATGAACGCTGTTTGAGATACTTAAGCTGCCCCTCCCTCTGAGATCGCAGTCGGAGAGGAAGCTCCCCATTCATGATTAATACCCTTTTCTGCATGCCAAAGGTCAACTGTAATCAAAAACGAATCACTAAAATTGGGCACCAGCGACCTTGATAAAATACACGCAAAACCGACTCTGAGAAGAATGTCTATGAACATAGCCTCCCCCTTCTCTCCTTACCCGAGCTACGTACTCGGCACAGGCCTCACTTTCATAGGCCTTCTAGGCTTCGTCCGGCCCCTGGCAATCTACGACGCCTTCGGCATCGCCAGACCCCCCTCCGCAGAAGCCGAGGCTTTTAGCTATGCCAAATCAGCGCGCGATCTAGCTACAGGGTTGCTGCTTCTCGGGCTCGAGACGTATCAGGAGGGAAGCGGCAATGAAGACGCGGTGACTGCGTTATTGGCCGTTACTTCGCTTGTTGGAATCATGGATTGGTGGATTGTTAGGACGATGGGTGGTAAGGGAGGACGAGGAGATGGGGGGAAAGCGTTGACGCATTTGGGTAGTGGGGTTGTGCTTGGGAGTTTCGCCATTTGGAGGTGGATGTATTAGTCTTGGATGAGTCCTTCCCATGACGGAGGTTGGTGTCGAATGTAACGCAGATCCCAAGCAACTTGATGACCAGTAGTGTAACTTAGGCCAAACCGAGTCATCTTTGATGGCTTGTACTTGACTCCAACTTAACTCGGTCTTCATATTCTGCTGTAATTACAGACTGATTTACCCTTTGATTCATCTGGCGCGCTTATATGTGCGAGCCTCAAGCCTTATCCTTGTCGACGATGATCCTCGGCGAGACCCTGATCTGCCAGTCGCTAATGTTGTGGTCATCACCATAGGTCCGGAGCTCCCTCGAAAGGATCTTGTACTCACCGCTCTCGATCGCACTGCCGTGCGAGAAGTTGCCGCTCGGCCACCAGGTGCTCGAGGGCAGGCGCGGGTACTGTTGAACGGGGGCATCAAAGTAGGCGTCCAAGATGAGGTTGTAATGTTGAAGGGAGCCAAAGTATTTGTTCTAGCCCGGAACAAAGGGGTATGACTAGTCTATGGGCTCCCAAGAGGGTTCGACGAGCTTGAAAGGGTTAGCTATTTCCAGATGAAGTACTTGGTTTTGATTCGGGAAACGGGGAGTACATACATCGAAGCTGATTTCACGACTAGACCAGAGGATGTCAAAGTCAATGGTAAAGGTGTCTTCGATTGTCATCTTGAAGGTATCATTCTCTTGGATTAGCACAAAGTCGGGGGTTAGAATGACGGGGTCAATCCATTCGCCGGCCCAAATTTTGCTATCTTAGACGCTGCCTTTAATACCTATGGAGAGTCAGTTACCTCTGGAGCTGTCATTGAACTGGCATCATCTACAGACCAGCGCATGTCACCCGCAGAGACTCGTCGTTAGAGCCGATAATATTGATGTATCCGCCATAGATCGGGAAAAGCTTCGCATCAATACCTGCAGGTTCGATGAAAGTCACCGTCGGAACTCCAGTCGTACCAGGAGCTACATCAAGTGCAGTCGCCGAGAACTTGACCGTGACTGGTGTTGCAGGACAGGGGGACGCCAAGTTATGGAAATGACTTACATCCAAGGGGCTGCTCCTTGGGGTTGTAGACGTTTCGGTTGGGAATCTCCCAGGCAGCATCCAGAAAGTTGTAGTAGAATGCCAACTTGACACTCGTTCCGAAGAGGTTGGTGTCGAGGACTTGCCAGCACTGACCCTTCTGCAGCACATGTGTTGGTGAGGCTTAGGTCGAATCATAGAGTAGACAGGCACAACAACAATGAGATTTCCGCCAGTTGATAGCAATTGTTAGAGGTGAGCTGAGAAAGTTGCAAAGTTATCTTCAGCGATGTAATGCTCAATTTTGGTTGACTTGTTTCCAGCGCTTTGCGATTGTGATCTCCAGTCTGTCGAACTTCTTTGTTCCCCATTGTTTTGACACACTGCTGCGGCCCCGTTCAGGCACATGACATTGTATTACTTGTTTCCGTACCTCTTAAGAATCGAGGCTTTGTTACACTCCATTCGACTTCCAAGTTCATTGACAAACGGTGCTTTCATCAGCTATTTCGGTAATACTCAAGCCATTGGCATCATTGATAGACTACAGCATGATTGTTCAGAGGCTTCTTTCGCTGTGCCCGACATTAGAACCATTGTATCGATGAAACTCTGGCTTCAGACACACTATTTAACAATCCGTTGCAACCAAGTGTCTGCATCACCTACAGTCATCAACAGCCTAACCATCGACGACATCACCAATACTATTTCAGCCCCTGGCATACAACTCTAGCGCGTATCTTCCTTACAAGAATACATTTTTGACTACTACGACTTTTATACATCTCTACTCTGCGAGATCGGATCTCTTCTTCAGCATCTCATTTATATAGCTCACGTGCCTTACTTATCACACAACTTGTCGACAATGGCCTCGCCTACTCACGACCCGGCTGACATTCTTTGCTGGATGAGTGATGTGTCCGGAACTTTGGAGGACACAAGCTCACTCGAAGAAGAGGTGCCAAATCCCCCTGAGGTTAAGCAAATTCAAGAGACCAGTTCTGGTACCGCTTACATTGCTGACCGGTCTGCTTCTGGAAGTGGATCACGGGCAAGCGAATCTGGAGAGACGCCAGCTCTGACGACAAACTCAACATGTACCAAACGCTCCTCACGATCTGAAGATGAAACTGACAATGAAAGTGTCAAGAGACGTAGGTGCAGCTACGTTCAGTCGCCAACGTTTATACAAAGCCCATGGGAATCTGCGACCGGTTGCCATATGTACTACCGAAACAGCTGTCGCCCAAGAAAGCTGGAAACTGTCACATCGTCTTACTGGCCAGATATTCGCGACGTCTATGCCAGATCACTTCATGACCCGAGCATCGAATGTTGCGTTCCCTGTTCCATCTGTCATGAGGATTGCGCAGACGAAAGTACGTCCTGGAAAGTCGGATGGGAACTGCCCGTCATCCTTGCGTGTGGCCATATGATTGGGGAAGAATGCCTCAAATCGTGGTTCAGATCGCGGGCAAAAAGCGATCAGCCAAAGGACTGCCCAGTGTGCAGAAGGTTGCTCCAATGCTCCGAATGCAAAGAAGCCTTCATGTTCTCGATCCTTTGTCGCGATTCTTACGTCCCGAATCTGAAGACCAAAACCTACAGCGAGCAGCCAATGGAGCAGACCATTTGCAACGATTGTCAGGCCGAGACTGAATTCGGAAGTCGCATCCTCCAAGGTGAGCATATTGCCGAGCCATTTCCCCGCGGCGGCGCTCCCGGACATATGATAGATTGGTACCGTCAAGTAAGGGATGAGTTTGAAACCAAAGCAAAGTTGAGCTTGGGTGACGGAATGAGACCGATCGACGTCTCTGGCATGATTCACAAAGAGATTTTCGCCGAGATGGAATCATGGCTGTATTTTCTGAAGGAGGATGTGGCTCACAGAGTACAGGCAAGTATCGCTAAGATTGAGACAGAGCTGGATGAAACTCACTGGTGGAATCGCGCTGGAGTGGACGCGGAAGAAGAGTTCGACATGAACCCAGGCTATGGCAATCGCTCAGATGGCGGCGAGGACCGCGGCGAGGACGGCATAAGTTACGAGGGCTTTGATGGCCGCTGGCATGGCGATGAGACTCAGGCTGGGCACAGGGATTACGATGCCGCTAACTATACCTGGTGAGATTTGCTGACATTGACTTGGTGTTACACCATACTTTCCAGAAGATAGAGCGTTGTTGATTTTGAATGATCTGATCGATGAAATACGACTTGGATAAGTTGTGGTCAAGAATGTGAGGGGTTGTTACAAGCTCAACCCGCAGCTGTAGTAATTCTCAATAGAGTCTACTTCATCTATCCATTGGTGGTATCACGATCTCCATCTGTTCCGGACGTGCAGTTGATCTGGAGCAAGTTCTTGTCCAGGTTTTTGCATTCGTACACAGGTGGCTTCCCGCTAGGCACCGTGACTGTGACGTTCTCGGCGCGGATGTTGCTGCAACGCTATATCGTAAAACTAATGTCAGTGATGTGTCCGGAGAATCAATGCTCTTTCATAGCGATGGATGGGAAGCTTACGTCTGCGGCACTACAAACAAGGCTTCCAGCTTGCGGGTCTAGCTTGGTTGAAACCGTGCCGTAGATGTTCTTCAGAGTGATGTCAGAAATTGTAAGGTTGGCCTAGAATCACCATTATCAGCACTCAATTGTACAAAGAGCTCAGAGAGAACGAAGGGACCTACCGGGAATTCTTCGCAGAGTGTTTGGTTCTTTTGGCCGTAACATTGCGTGATCGTAATAGCCCGATCATTGTTGGTATTCTTGAAGAGGTCATACGTGACGTTTCTGACACGCCCGAGACCACCGCCACCGTTCAGAAGTGTCTGGAAAGCAGTCTCAATACCTGGCCAGACCTTGATCCGAGCGGCATCGCTGGCGTTGGCCATGGTTGTGTTGTAGATGTAGAGGTTCTCGACGATGTCGGTCTCGCCCTTGTACTGGCCCAGGGAGCCAACGCTCATGCCGTGTGAGCCAGTGCAATCCAGGTTCTGGACGACAACATTGGTGCTGTTTGGTTTGAAGGACACACAGTCTGCATAAGCCATCGAGATTAGTTCACGAAACCTTGACGAGAGTTTCGATAATTAGGCTGCAAGCAACCAGATCATCCGTGGCCAAACTCACCGTCTGTGTTGATAATCACTGAGTTCTGAATCACAATGCGATCGGACCGATAAGTATCCCAACCATCCGAGTTGGCGATCTTGACACCATTTTGACTCTGTCCCAATTATTGTGTCAGCATTTGCGCTGCCCTGAGATGGGGGTAAATCAGTGGAGCGACCTACCTGGGCTTTAAGATCCATATCACTGATAATGACATCGGTGCTGTTCGCAATCAGGTTGAACCACTGGTCTCGTTAGCCTGTAACAATCTGGATGTGGTGGTCACAACTCACGTTGGGAGGGTTGCGCATCCGAAGGTGTGACATTGTCGCCCCCTTCGCTCCGTCGAAAGAGAACAACATGGGCCTCAAGAGCTATTATGTCCTGTTTAGCACACTCGAAAAGTAGCATGACCTGGCGTTCTTACACTACTGTTGGTCTGAATGGCCTCCCAGTATGCCTGACCGCGACCATCAATGACAGACTTATCGTTCCCAAGATCACCATAGATGTTGATATCCTCGCCGCCAAACTTCCAAAAGACTGACTGGTTCTGGAAAGCGAACTTGAAACTGTTGTCGGCCCAGTAGAGGGGGTCATCATTGAACTGGATGTCGCCGGTAATTACTACGTCAATGTGCTTCAAGAAGGTGAGATCCAACGGCGAGCTAATGAGGTAGGTCTTGTCGAACACCACCGTGCCGCCGTCGTTGCATTCCTTGAAGGCTTTGAGGATCTTCGGCGCGTCGTCCTTGCCCTCGGTGCAGCTCGGCTTAACGTAGCAATAGCGGTCTTTGTCTCTGGGAGGCGAAAATGGCATGGCCCTTCCGGTGTTGAACGGAGCGGGCTCAACCTTAGGGCGCTTGGGAAGCTCATCCTGGGCGGAAACAATCGACATCAGGCCAAGGGCGGCGGCCCATAGAGCCAAAGAGGTAGTCCGCATCTTGACGAACTTGCACGCACACGGGAATGACAGAGTGGTGTTAGGGATGTGAAAGCGCCACTACTTGAGTCCTAGTCCCTGAGCCATCCGTACTCAAATACCCAAAATCCTAAGAGCTTAAGTTTAATGAAATGTCACCGGCGGCGGATCATATCATCATTATCCCCAGATTGAATGCAACAATACGTGGAAGATTTGTGGGGTTCATGTAAGGTCCCTCGGCCGGTCGGTAGAAGATTTCGCGGACTGGGGTGCGAGAAAACACGTTGATTCTTCCCAAAAGAGCGTTCCCTTCAACCTGACGAACCCCTTGCGGCTGAATCCTTCTTGCGCTTCTCCGCATACTGTACCCATTTGTGAGCGCGGGGTAAAGAGGGATGCGGAGAAATTATCAGAGACAACTTGGCGATGCAATTAGCGAGCCGGTGGGTGCAATTTGCTTCGCATTTCCGGTCTTGGCGTTGACATAATATGAGATCACACAGGTAGCAGATATTTGCTGAAGCACTGGGCTCTCAAGACCCTCATCTTCAAGAAAACTGGGAACGGGAGCTTGGTCTCAAGGCATCTACCCGCAGATTAGGCAATGGAGTCCAGAGGCCCTCGCAGAAGAATGGAGCCATTCAGGCTGTTGGTGGAACATCGATGTAGGGCAGCGCGATTCGAGACCCCAAGCGACAGATCATAGTGATCATGGTGAATTTGACTCTCGTTGAAATCTTTGTCACTGGCTTCCGAGGCAAATCTAAACAATGATAGCCTCGAGATTCTCACGATCAAGATCGTTGTGCTGCTTCATCGTCGAGAAGGTATGAGGGAATGCTCTTCAAACTGAACACGACTATGGAAAGGTAGCCAAGCTTGATTTATTAAGGGGCTTCGAAATCAAATGACCCATAGAGAAGTCACAAGAACGTGATCCGCTGCTAGTGGGAGAGGGGGTGGGGTATCAAATGTTGCATGTATCAAAGCCAACCGGTCGTCCTTGATTATATCCCTGCTGTCCTGCTTTTGTCCTCAAGACCTGACTACATTATGTTGTCCTTGTGAATCACTTCCGCTCGCGCCATAGACGTCCGATAGCCTCCTCCATGGCTGTGTGTATGTTGGAAGAACAAAGGGAATGTTTCAGAATCCGCAACATGGCGGTATTGACGATAGGCCGCGTCCGAAACCAGACGTTTATCAGAGTTAACTTCTTAAAAAACCCGGGTCCGATAGCGCTGAGGCGGCGGGGGTTGCTGACGGCGAGCTGGTCCATTGGTCTTGACTTTCCATGCGTCGTAACGATTAATGTGGAAAGGTTCGGGTGGTTGTGGTTGTGGCATTGGAACGTATTGCATTGGTCGGCCCCGGGTCGGGTAGACCCGCGGAGGTATCCTTGGTGTCCTCGGCCCACGGGACCCGGTCACCCCGCTTTCGGAGGAAGAGTCATAATACAAGGAGTCCCAGTCCGGTGGCGGTCCTGGTCTTCTCTTGTTCTGAGAAATGCAGAACCAAGCGATGAGAACAATGGCGACGAAGGCCACGATGCCACCCAGGATTCCTCCTATCTGTGCGCTTGATAGGGATCCGCTTGATCGGTCCGGAGGTGGTGGGTCCGTGGTCGGAGCAGCGGCTGGCGGGTCGGCCGGGTTGCCATCGGAGTATGATGTCGGTGGCCCGCTCCCTAGTGTAACGTATGTGACGAAAGTTGAACTTGGTCGATAGATCGTCTGAGTTATGACATGAAAGCCTGTCTCTTCCTGTCGGGCAGCGACGGGAAGAGGGGTTTCGCGGGGTTGCAGCGAAATCGGAGTGGGAGAGGTATGCATTGCTGACAGGATCTCATCAGGTTGGTTGGTAAGCGTCTTATTCGTTATATCCAGCCAAGAAGAGAAGGCCTCACTGGCTAAGGCAAAATGGTACCGTCAAGTAACTTAGATAGCGTGGTAAACAATGAACCACATGAGTGAGTGTCAAAAGACCGAAGAAGCCACAGTACGAAAAGAAAAAGGAAAGAAAGTGCAAGACGTGTCATTCTTATCCAGGAATCTAGAAGCAGGCTGTGGTTCGCAGAAAAAGTTGCTTACCATCTTACAACTTCTCACGGGTGCCAAGTAGCATCCACCGCATACTTCCATCGCAAGGCCAAGACTAGGCATAGACGCAATTCCTACGAACGAGCTGCAGCGCCACAGGCAACACCACGCCCCCCCAGACACATCGGATAAGACACTCAAGACGCGACTAACCTTGTTTTGACACCTCTCTGCCCAGACTTGTCGATATAGTACGGCTGCGCCTGACACATCCAAAGACCTGCAGGCAGGCTGCAAGGCATTGAGGCTGGCCAGTGAGGACCGACAGCGTGGTGCCATGAACATGCAAAACGCGCACATGATTCTGCCCATCAACACTTGCGATAAATGGGGGTGAGAGGCCAGATCCACCAATAAGCTGAATTGGTCGGGCCAAGGTGCAGGAGTTTTGATCAACCGAACCAATGCCATTGAGTTGCGGACAGCCATTAGCAAGTACCGCACAGTCAGACATCGTATACACACCCACACGGGGGCCGGCCCGTCGAGTTGGATCTGTGTGAGTGAGACCCTTGACTGGAGTGCTCATGTGCTTAGTTTTCAGTGAGACACGGTGTATATCAACAACGGCGGCATCTTAGTTGCCGGACCTACTTCGCGTGTGCGAATTTGGCCCCCAACCAACCTTGACTAACATCAACCTATGCAGACACTAACGCGGTCATTGCATCGGCCAACCTGGATGAGAGTTCGTCATCAATCTCACAAAGATAAGACCAGAAGGACACGGCAGTTATCAGAACAAATCCCGACGAAGTTAATTGCTACCTCAACGGGTGACACGATGCCGGACCTCATCGCTACTATTTCCAGGTGTCGTCACGTCCTTGATCGTGCTCGATCTATCCTTTGCACCCGCGAACTCAAGGCGTCATTTTAAATCTCTCTTATGTCCCCCAAAGTTACACCACGCCTGGAAATATTATATGCCCCCAAAAGTACACGAACGAGAATAAGTGAGAGAATCATCATGCCAAAGTGCCAAGAAGCGCGTGCGCGCGCGCGCGGATTGCCGGTTTTATAAGTCCGCGGAAATTGATTCAAAAACTGAAGAACAGAATTGCGTTCGATCAACGGGGGCCAGGCGAGCGAACTCCAACTTCTCTGACAGAGTATCAATGGCAGTATCTGAAAGAGGGCTGAGTCAGCTATTCGTTCTGTTTCGTTTCATCAGAGAGAATTCATCAAACTTACTTTTACTTCGATCGGACTTTAGCAAGATTACGCAACGGCTCTCCTCCCCTCGCGGAAAGCAAAACGAACAATTGTTCCACCTATCTCCTCCTCTCAGCTTTACCGGCACGGTTCGGTTGAGCAGCAGCGGTAGGGTTGTTGTCAACGATGATACCGACGCCGGCACCGCCCTCGCCGTTTCCGAGTTGGATCTTGGGACCCTTTGTGAGCGCGGCCTCGGCAAACGTGAGGGCACGATCGAAGCCGCTCTGGCGCTTCTCCACCCTCTTTGTAATATCTCGGCCTGCAACGATGCCTTGTTGAGCGGCTCCGGGGGCGCCAACGCCGGCAGCGGCAGCGGCAGCGGCTGCTGCGCCTTCGCCTGCGGCGGCGCCTCCCTTACCCTTTCCAGCCTCCGCCTCGCCTCCGAATGTAAGCGCACCATCACCGACTACCAACGCAGGGGAGTATGCGCCGAGGTTGATGTTCAGGGGTGCGGGGGCGGCGTTGATCCCTACGGCCAGGACGGCGAGGGTCATGAGGGTGCTGGTGATCTGCATGGCGAAAAATTGGAAAGTTGAATTGAAAAGATTGGGTATCGTGTGTCGGCGCAGCCGGTAGATGTCTCTCTCCTCAAGAGGAATTATTAGGTAGTACTGAAAAAGAAGGGGATTCCTTTTGGTGGAGGAGAATCGAAGAAGCAGAACAAACAGCACAGCTGAAGTGAGGAGGAAATAAAGAGAGATGACGGAAATCAGGTAATAGCACACGCGTCAACGAGTGGCAAGGCAAGGTGGGAGGAGAGAGCGTAATGAATGAAATCCCCACGGAGCGCCAAGAAGAGGTTCAAATACCTGGCATGGAGAACCACGACCAGATCCAGAACCACAACCAGTGAGAGAGTGTCAAAGGTGAGAGGTTGGAAGGTGGAGGATGGGACAAGAGAGGCGCGGAGACCATGCCATTCGGGGTTGCGGCGCCGTCATGCGTGTCAAGACCTGCCGCTGCCAAGGCCAAGCGGCTCTGTCAAAAATAGAAGCTCTTCCAGGTGCCTTGGACAAGAGATGATAGGTTCTTGGGCGTTCTAAGCTCCAGGGACTAACAGGTACACGGACCTTGAGGAGGGGGGTTTCCGCTTGGGATTCGAGGAGAAGGGCAGAAGAGCCGCGAGTTGATCCAGGGGGGCCATGTGGTTTCCATCGATGGTATGGTGATGATGGTGGTTACGCGGGATGTGGTGGAGAAGTGCGTCTGAGCGGAGGTGAAACGGTCCAAGTCCCAAGACCTCCAACAACGAGGGCTCCCCGAAACCATATAGAGTCTTGGCAACTGGGCTGGATGCGGCCCTGGCTTTGTCAAGAAGCAGCTTCTTTCTATGAGAGCGCTGCAATCTCTTCTCTGTTGCCCATGTTGTTGCGAAGCAAAGATAGATGAAGCTGATGTTTGATGTTGGGGCACGAGGGGTCGTCTACCGAGGATGCGATCTGCGACCTGCCACAGGCTAGCAGCTGCAAGGCAGTTTTACCATTCGCAGCTCCGACAAGAAATATCAGTAAATTACTTAGAAGAGCCATAGTCTGCACATGAATACCTACCATGGTCGCCAAGATGTCTGCTTGCCGATGGCCAAGGACCGGGCGTTTCCCAAGACAATTGGCCCGGCCAGCGATCGGGATACCAAGGCTGTGCCCAGGACTTCCAAGAGATCCCATTCTACAACCGTAACGGCATGCACCATCTACTCGCCCGGAGAACGTCGCATACGAGGATTTGCCATTCCAGCCTCAAGACCGCTTCCCCGACGTGGATGCTGATTGGACCGGGCGACGTTGAATCGAAGCTGGGACCCAAACCTACTCCTACACCGATCCGAGTCAACGGAGTCAAACAACACTCATTGAATCATCCTTCTCCGAAGTAGAGCAGCTTGCAATGAAGATCTGACATTGACAGCTCTTGGTAGAATGAATTTCAGAGTGATTTCGCGCGCATCGAGAAAGACTGTTTGAATGGTTGGGTGAACTAGAGGCCCATGTCGAACTTGACACTCTTATGCATTGACTGACCGCTAATCATTAGAGACTGGTCGCTGATTGTGTCTGAATAGGCTAGGTTGAGCCGTTCCACAGCTCTTCCTTGCAACGGCGCGTGCCACCGGCGGAAACACACTCGCGTGTGAAACCTTGCGTCAGAAAATTTCTGTCTGCGGGTAGCCCCTTGAGTCTTGCAGATGTCCAGCTGACTCGTCACCATAAAACAAATACGATCCCACCGGTGATTGTTTGCACATGTAGAGTCGCATGTGAGCGGCATGCCGCCTTGAACATGCTAGTCTGGTTGAATAATTGCCACATCACGCCACGAAGGGGTATTCATGTCAACACTGTCATGTCCTGTAAAAGCCAGATCCGAAGCTCTCAATTGTGGATTTGATATAGTCCAAATGCCACTCATCTAGCGAATCGTAGTCAATATTGACTGTGAGTAAGTGACTGCCCGTACAGTACCAACCGGTAGTCGGAGAAACTACCAGCCGAAGTTCTTACAAGAAGTCGATACAACACGTCGATAAGCTACGATAATATGGAGACGCAATGCTGATCTAGGAGATTAACCCGATTCCGATGTCTCTAACGATCTTCAGTGACGTTCCGCCTGTCTAAAGAAAGACTCGGAGATTTACCATTGGCCTAGGCACTGCCTCCGTAAGCGTTTCACAGCGACTAGCTTGACGGGCAAGACAACAACCGCGGCTACATTCGACACGGATCCTCGGGCTTTATCCTTATAACCGTGGCACAGATGAGCGACTGTGCCTTGCGGTTGTCTCCTTGCACCTGCATAATCCTGTATGGCCAAGACATTATCCAGATCTACATATTGAAGCTTTTCCATACGCCAAGAACTCTATGGTTTGGCGCCATTGATTTTCAGAATGGTTGGAAAATGGGATCTGAGTTTGACACCTTTAGAATGCAATTTCGGGGTACTTCAAACTCGGCTGGGCCTGAAGGAGAGCTCAATTCCAGTAATAGGTAGTCAGCCAGAACATAATCATCTCGGTAAAGCCTAAATTTGTCATTGTGTGCAGCTGCTGACTCAATCCTGTGCTTTTCTCCTGCTCCCGTGGACGAATTCCTTTTGGTTCGCCACCCAGATCCGATCCTCAATAGAAACTACACAGTCTAATGCCTATGCAGCTGAATATGCCTTTACGAGACATGACGTCCCGTGTCCAGCATCTCCACCCAAGCTTCCTGCCTCTTCTGCTCAGCAGTCGGCGTCAGCCAAGTATACTTTTGATAGATATAATCGCTATGCGCAATGTCTCGGATCTGCCTCATGAGGTTGTCAAGCGCTGGTACCCGCTTGTAGTCACTGTAATCTTTCCCATCAGCTTTGTGGTCGTATCTGGGAGCCCAAACCGCACGGGACCTGGTCTCGCTGAGTATGGCTCTCATTAGCGAGTTGGTCGCTCTCTCGACGCGGAGAGCGCGGCACTTGAAGCAACACGAAGGGCGGGAGGCGCCCTCGGGAGTGGTGAGCGGGAACTTGTCCAATTCTGTCATGCTCCCGGGCAGAGGCAAGCCCATCATGCCCACATCCATACAGCTTTGAGCGCACTGCGAGTAAGGGCCGATGAGGCCCGGGCAGTAGGGGCACTTTGGTTGACCGAGGTTGTAAAGATTTGCAATTTGTTTGATGCACGCTTCGCACAGAATGTGACCGCAAACGAGAACCATGGCGCGATTCGAGTTCTGGCCGGGCGTGGTGGTCATCGATGTTGAGCATTTGGGGCATGGAGCAGCAAACTGCTGGAGGGCCGTGTCGGAGGTCATCCAAGACTTGATTTCCGGCCAGAAAACCTTTCGGATTACTTCGCGCTTGTCCGTCATTGCGGCTGCATCCGAGGGTACGAGACGATCGACCGGCCCCTGTCCGACCGGCATGTACGGCGGGACGGGCTGCTGCGACGGATATCCGGACGGGTATGCGGACGGTCGCTGTGATTGCTGGAGACTTTGGGGCGCAATTTGGTGCGGAGCGCCAATGAGAGGGCGGCCGGCTTGGGCCGACGGGACCGAGTCCCATCGGTTGCCAGTGAATGCATCGTTGCCTTCGCCGATATCAAGTGATTCGTCGACCGAACCGACGACAGAGGGAGCTCCTTGGCTCCCTCCGCTACTGGCCCCGCCGAGACCTCCACCAGACCCTCCGCCGAAGTGCATGTTGCGAAGCTTTTGCAAGGTTTCTCTGTCCATTTCATCAAATTCGTTGGATGGTTGAGCTGAAATGTTTCTCAACTAAGGTGCCAAACAGTGGAGGGACTAAGACTGTCTCGATCAAGTCGTCGAGAGGATGTCGTAAGCCGGGTTACTCGAGTCTTCTTATATCTGAAATGGTGCTCTTGGTCCTCAGAAGGCATCTGTGCTCCCTAGTTGTTGTTATTCGTTACTTGCTTTGTGTCGCTTAGGCACCTTTTTCTGACGAGACAACTTCTTGTGCCTTTCGGCAGAATCGCGAAAGAAAACGCTGAATCATGCGGTGCTTCTTTGAAGAAAAATTCCCCTTGCGAGGCAATTACTCCCTGTGTCCAAGGTAGTTTGCGTCTAATTGCTATTTGCCGCATCAAGGGAGGGACTGGTTGCATCCATCACAATCCAAATAGTTCGCTACGATGCCCTGCACTGTACCCCCAGGCTTCATGAGTCCTCTTTGTTGTTCTCGAATCTCATGCTTCGAAAAACAAATTTGGTCTCACAGAATGCTGCGGAACCATCAACTGAATCACATGTAGATAGGAGCATTATCTCCGAGTCGTAAATCCCCATTGCCCTTGCAACGTCAGTGCAGATATTGCGTGAAAGTTGGACTGTGGGCTTTTTGGTCCATTGTGATGCTATATTTTCGGGGCATTTCCCCATTGTTCCCACGGTTGGGGCGAGTTATTACTGGGGACACTGTGGTGAGCTCTGAGTTCGGGGTCTGGGCAGTTGGCCCTGGCCACTCTCTTTATCTCCCGAGATCCCTCTCTTGGCTTCTTGAGCACCATGGCGAAGAGCCAAACATTGAATGCAGACTTGCTGAGAAGCTAATTCTCATCATTTGTCTTCACGCTGGCCGAGACTGAACTTCCGAGTCATCCAGCCCAGCTCTCTTCCACGCAAGCTTCGCCATGGCTTGGGAGGTGGCACAAGCCTGGAATACTTGATTTAACTTTCTTGAACTTGGGCCAAGCAGCAGTAGTTCCACACCTGTGGAACCCGCCGAGCCGCCGGTGTAGTGGACTGAGGACGGGAATTATGTTATGAAAATTCAAATGCAGAAAACTTGCCGTCATCGAAGAATCCATTCACCTCAGCCCTACAGAACATAGTCGCGCGCGAATTGTTGACGTCAATTTTGTATTCAGATGACCCGGACGCAACGGCAGAATGCTAAGGAATGTTTCCCTTGGCCTATGTAGTTAGTTACTCGACATCACAACGCGTCACTATAGAAGGAGTCTCGGGGGGATGAGCGTCACCCTTAAGTAATGTATGAGCCACTGCGCTGCGCCTGTGAATTACCTGCAACTTTTTTTACTTCATCGATACCCCAAAGTTGCCCATTGAGTAATCAAAATAGCCCGAGTTCAACACCCTTGTCACCATTACTCTACTGCAAGCCCCTTGGGCGAAACACATTCAATATGTCAAAGAAATACCCTGCCCCCGACGCGCCAGTAGTCCGGATAATTGTGTTGGAGACGGACAACCCCCATCCTGACACCCATGCAGCGAAGGGGAGCTTTGGAGAAATTCTGCATACACACTTCCAGCATGCCGGCGCTGAACACGACCCTCCGTTGGGAGTCGATACAGATCAGAAGTTCGTGGTAGAGGAAAAAGGAGGTACAGTCCCATCATTTGAAGATTTCGACAGCTATCAAGGTGTCCTGATCACCGGAAGCATGTATGATGCACACGGAGATAATCCCTGGATTCTCAAACTCCTCGGAGTTTTACAAGGTTCGTCACCACTCAAGCCACTGATACCCTTTACAGACACCCGCAACCGGCGGTACTGACTCCGGGCAACAGAACTCTGGGAGCGCCGGCCGGATCTCCACTTGAGCGGCGTGTGCTTCGGCCACCAGCTTCTCAACCGGATGCTCGGCGCCGAAGTCGCACCAGCGCCATCAGAAGACTGGGAGTTAGGCCACTGTCGGATCGACCTTTCCCCGGTGGGTAAGCAACTGTTTAAGACAGAAGACAATGATGTGCATCTTCACCAAATGCACCAAGACCAAGTCGTCGCGCCACCTACCACCGAGAGCTCCAAGGGCCTATTGAAGACGAGCGACAAGGTGGATGTGTGGGGTCACAGTGAGCACACCAAGGTGCAGGGCGTTTACATCAAGGGCCGGCTCTTCACATCACAGGCGCATTTGGCGTTTGATGAGGATATGGTAAAAAGGCAGATCCAAATGAGGATTGACAGTGGCGGTATTCAGGATATGGAACATGCGGACCAGGCGGCGGAGACTGCGCATTGGGAACACGATGGTGACCTGGTCGCAGCGGCTATTCTAAGGTTCTTCCACGGAGACGATGATGAGATAGAGTGATGGGTGGTAGGAAATGGTGTTGTAGTAACGGCTGCCCAGTTGTGGAGAAACTTACTTGTCAATCCTGAAGCTAGCTCAGCTGTCATGTCTGAGTAGAGACCCAGTCCACACCACAATGTGTGTGGCCAAATTTGAGGACGGATAAAGATATCCGATGTTGTTTCATTACCACGACGACATGGTTCAATATGAAGAAGTTCAACATATTGCTTTGTCGCCTCTCCTCTCCCTTGGTATCGAGTCGCATGAATTCTTGGCGTGGTCGGCTGGAGCGAGGCACCCTCGCTGACCTTCCCGTTGGGTCTACAAGAAGACGATCCCACCGGTAGTCTTGAGACTTATGTGGTGATTATGCTCGTGAGGACGAATCACTCACGTACTTAATCTCATAGGCACTTCATGCAGCGTTCCATTCATGCTACCTTAAATTCCATTCTCTGCCACCATTGCTGTTGGTCAGCGGCAACATCCATCGCGTATCACTGCATCAGTCAGCTTTGAGTGCGGGATTCGTATGATGATTGCAGGGCTCTAAATATAGCATATTATTGGATGGCTGCAGAAAGAAGACCCCGGGGAAGTGAGTTCTGTCAGTCACATAAGAAGCAAGACTTCCTTTCCCAATCTCGAATGATGAGTCTTGCATTCAAGGTCCGCCTTTTGCAAAATACTTTCTGCTAATCTCACCGCCTCAAAAGATGTCTTCAGCGTCCAATTTTCCAGGAGTCGGGACGCATCTTGTTTACAGAAAGCCGCCGCCAACACCAGAGTTTCTCAACACGCCAACCAATCTTTACTCCGATGCTGAGAATTACAGAGATAAGCGCGAAGTTTTTGTTCGTAACATTCGCGCCGAGATGAATCAGTTCACTACCGCGAGTGATGGCTTGGAGTTCGTGAAGCATAGGGTTGATGTTAAAGACTGGTCTGACGAGGATGAGGTTCGCGAGGTGATACTTCGAGACACCCAAGAGCTTCTCAAGAAACAGTAATATGACTTTCCCTTATCTCATGTTATCTAAAACTTTGTGATTAGGCGAATAACTAGTCAAATCTACGAATAGTTTCAACGCCAACAAGACATTCACCACTGTCTCAAGAATTCGACACTCTGATACAAGTGGAATCAGGAAAGACACCACGCCGGTTTACTCTATTCACGGCGACTTGACTGTTCGAAGTGGCCTTGAGCTCCTGGAAGATACTATTCCCAAAATGGATCACCCGCCCAAATCTATGCCTCCTAAGGGTCGAGTTCTCATGGTCAACGTATGGAGGCCTCTGAAGACAATCAAACGCGACCCGATTGCCTTTCTAGTGCCCAAAAGCATTAGATCTCAGGAACGACATGCACAGATCTTCTCACGACCTGAAGGAAAATTCAAAGTCTTTGGCAAGGACGCTCAAGACTTCTGGCTGGATACAGCTTCCTACAGCGAGGACCATGATTGGGTGTTTCTGGACCATCAGCAACCAGATGAGCCTGTCCTGTTTCTTCAATGGGACAGTGCATCATTGGAGAGTTTCGAGTCGAGGATGGCTGTGTTTCATAGTTCTTTTGAGGATTCTAGATATATGGACGAGGCGGAACGAGCGAGCATCGAGCTCAAGTGTCTTGTTTTCTTGGATAAGTGAATGAGTGGTGGCCATGGAGGCGGAAGATCACGCATCACGCATCATCTCAGTCTAGGTAGCTCAGTTAATCAACGAGGACTGATTCAATGTGGATACTAGTTAGTCTTCCTATCCAAATGCTAGACTTGCTAATTCTGACGAAGCCCCTCTGATAGTTTGACAGAAACCACTGAGCATGGCATAAGAATTACAAGAGCAAATAACTTGGGCTTTTTTCTTGCATTCTTTCTCCATGCATCGTTACTACAATACTCAGCTGTGATCCCATTGCTTATTATAGTTTACTTGAGCTTATCTTGGCCTTACTCGGATCTGACCATAATCTTCCCTGTGTCTCGCCTCTATCTAAGGCATCAAGCCCCGCCGGAATCTCCGCAAAAGGAATCTCCGTTAACTCTGGCTCAATCGACTTATTTGCCAAAAGGTTGAAGACATCTCTCAAGTCCTGTTCACTCGCTCCAAACGATCCAATCAAACTTACACTACGGCCAATCAAAGCATAGCTAGGGATTGTGATCTCGGAACCTGCCAGTCCAACGACGACGACTTTGCCCCCTTCGCTCACCTTTTGAATGGCCTGCGTTGTGGTTGCCCCTGTGCCGGCGAAATCGACGATGGCATCGAAATCCACATCCTGAGCATCTTCCAGGTTCTTGAAACACCCACTAGCACCGAGTCTCTTTGCCTCTTTGAACTTTGACTCGGATATGTCGATGCCGTACACTTTGGCCCCTTTGAGGACTCCAAAGCCGAGACCTGACATCCCAAGGCCACCGATACCAATCACGCCGATCGTCATACCAGGCTTCGCAGCGGCTTCGACTACCACAGCATGGTAGGATGTTGCCATCGCATCAGTCGCCACCGCAGCTTGAGAAAATGGGAGGCTGTCCGGGATGTGGACTAATCTTGCCACAGGTGCCAGCACAAATTCTCCGTAACCACCGTCGAATCCAAGACCAATAGCCATTGTCCAGTCCCGAAGCTTGATCGGATATGAGAAAAGCCCCACGGTAACACGTTCGCCGGTTTTGAATTCTTTCACATCAGGGCCGAGTGCTGTAATTATCCCAGAGACTTCGTGGCCGAGAGTAATGGGCCGCTGAACAACCCCATCGATGCCCTTCAATATGTGGCAGTCTGAATGGCACAGACCGGCTGCTTTGACTTGTAGCTGAACCCAGCCGGGGCCAGGCTGAGGAATCGGTAGATCTCGAAGTTGTAGGCCGCCGCCTTTCTCCATGTACTGAAAGGCTTGCATTTCGATAGAGTTGTCGTCCAGGCTTATTCAAGTTGGCGCTCCTGAAACCTGGGGGTAGAGGTGAACCACGACTTTTGCCGAGACTTTATGCTTACAGGGCGGGGGCTTCACCCCGCATTTTGAATATTACCAGGCCGAATCCCGCCGGAGTGACTTTTAATACTCCCCGGGCTGGCACGTGTGACAAATCATGCAACATCAGATGCGACGACAGCCAAATCTACGCTACAGTTGAGCCAACGGCAGTCGTTCTACAGCGAGGTGTCGATACTGCTCCAGCGGAATCGGGTCCCGAAGTTGACACCGAGAGCTCGGCCGGCGCGACTGTGGTTGCCAACGGCTTTTCGCGGACATGCGGACGCCGTGGCCGAGGCACAGGCATGTCGGACAATCCCCACTTGATCAACGTGGTTCGGGCGATGCCCACTTAGTTCAATGTCTTACATGGTGGTAACGTAAAGCCTGACTCTTACTAGCGAGTAAGCATCCTGAACAGCATCACCATGCAGCGCCTACAGGGTTCGAGGCGGTCTTCTCGGACGCGCCATGAACACCGATCAGAGACATGAATAGGCGCAAACTTTTGAACATAAAGAAAGTCGAGAAATGCTTTATGTTATCGTTGCCCACAGGTTTTGATGTTGATAATTGCAGCATAGCAATACCTATCACCTCACACAATCAAAGTTGACGATCAGTAGAAATGCGTTTTGGTGCGCTATCTTTCGAAGCGGAATCGGTCACCATATTTTTACCCCCATACCCGAAACCTCCAGACCCATACAGCTTCGCAATCGATATGATGCTGGGCTATACCTACCGCGTCGCCGCATCTCTAGTTCGCCATCTGGTCCCAAATATGCTAGAGCTCGAGGATGAGCCTCTCATGTCAACCATAGTGCTCGACTATGGAATGAGTTCTGTGGGGGCGTAAAATTAGTTTGTCCACCAAGTCGAGGTGACTTTTAAGAACGAGAAATTCATGTACAGTCTCATCTTGATCCTCGACAACGAGGCAACCATATTTGCAGGACGTGAGCAGTACGGCTTTCCCAAAGTCTTTGGCAAGGCCGATATTCAGACGACAAACGGTACCCGGCTGGTTCTGGCAAATGCACAGAGGCCGGCAGAACGAACTCTTTTCGAGTGCGAATTTATCCCCGATCATCGTATTCCCAGTTTGCGTGCCGCAGACAAATGGCGGCCCAATCTTCGTAGTATTCCACAGCCGTGTGTGGGAACATCACCGGCGATTCAAGAGCTGATTCCTACGATCATGGACTGGAAATTTCGCGAGATCTGGGCTGGCCATGGTCAGATTACTTTTCCGCGCCGCTCTGCATTTGATCCTTGGTGCGGTTTGGATATTCTACAATACGAAGGAAGCTTCCTTGCACGGAGTCTGACTGGCGAGCTTCGGTGTCGTGGTGAGAGTTCCAAGGTTTAAAGGTTTGGAGGATCAGGTCGGGGCCAAGTGCTTGAGTTCTTCAAGTAGACTTTCGACTAGTAGGTAAAGGTCTCGATCGCATGATACTTCAATTTGAAGCATGAGCATCAGTCTTAGCATCTGAATTTCACACCTCGCATATTTGCGGTCGCCCGGATTTGGTGGATCCTATCGTGATGAGAGTGAATCCAACTATGAAGCTCTAGAACCTCTCCGAATAAATAGTTCGAAACGAAAGAATCGGATGGAAGAGAGAGCCGATGTCGGTCGACAAAGCGATTGCTTCAAGCGAGATGCTACGATAGCTATGACCCATAACGGAGGAGTTGGTAACTAAGTGGGTTCGTGAATGATTGGCTGTGTCATGAAGTTGAAATCGAATTTCGCCGTCCGATTATTTCAAAGACCTTCTCATCAATAACCAAAGTTGAATTTCTATGGTCGCTTCGTATGGCTATCTGAAGGTAGACTTTCTGTACCGTTCGAACTCGACACTTGCGCAGTCATTGACAATGTCAGACCATGCAGACCTGTGGATATTTTTCTGGAGTTCTATCAAGTCAACCGGAGCGAGGGGTGAAATTAGGTGTGGTCCTTGCGGACTGTCAGGCCCCTCACGATGGGATGCAACGCCAGAGAAATTGCGATCGCATATGATCAAGGATCTCCGTCTTGTAAAGTTCCCAGCACGTATCGATAAGGGGACACCGTTTGCATTTCGGACCCAGAAAGCAACCAGGGGTCTAGTGGACGTAATCCGAGCCTCCAGGTATTAGTCGCATCCGCAGTCTAAGGTCCGCAGGGTTGGTCCAACACACTTCGTGAACAACAACTTCCTTCGCACAAGGATTACTTCAGGCCTCGCCACACTGGCGCATTTTCATACCGGGTGTGATGCTTCTTCAGTTTTCTTACCAGGCCACACAGCATTTGTCCCTCGACCAATGAAACTACCTGGTCTCGGACCACATTTCCGAATGGGTAAAAAGATGCAGAAGCGAACGAAGTGAAGAATCCTTCTTGTATCCATTAGCCGGCATGGGGTTACAATCAGGAACATTATGGCGTTTGAAGAGCCGAGATTTCCAACAGCTCAAGAGGCACGCTTTGCGGGACATGGACCTCCTGCTGTAATGAGCGATTAACATTTGTGCCAACATGCCAAATCATTGGCACGATAATCAGAAGAGACAGATCACCAAGTATAAAATTGCTGTTTATGGAGAGCTAGAGTACATGACGGTAGTTACAGTGGTCTTCTTGATACCCCGCCCATCGGTCAAGCTGTCCCGCAGCCCGACCTTGTCCTCACTCGTATCACTGTCATCGCCCCCGGTCCCAGCCGCGACGGTCGTGGTTCCCACAGGCCGAGTGGCGTTTGTCTCCAACTCGTAATCGTTCCCCGTTCTGTCCATGTGGTTCCTGGGAAACTTCTCGCCTCTCTCTTCACCCGGCTTGACTGGCCATTGGGTGTTTGACAGAGTCTGCCAGTTACTACCGCTACGCAGCGTACCACGGCCATAGTATGCTCCTGCTGTGGGCGCCTTGGACCCCTTGCCGTAGATACTACCCAGGAAGTCCTTGAAGAGGGGTCGTAGAGTTGGCAGACTTCCAGCTATGATTCCAACATTAGCCTCGATGACGGTCCACATCTGAATATCTCGCGAGTCCCAGGTTGGATCGAAGGCCCTTCCATAACTTGTGACGATGTAGTAGACTTTAGCGCAAGCTGCTGCACATGCAAAGACTCCCAAACCGAGGACCATCATGAGAGATATTCGAACCCTTCGCGGGACGTTGAGCCCCCAAAGCATGGGCGCTGGAATAGCGATTCCAAAGAGAAGGTCGGTGAGGATATTAATCGACGAATTTGCATAGGAGAGGCCCTTGATCGTATCGACATCCCAGCAGGTTGCCTTAACGTTGAAGTCCCAGAATGCGCGTACATCCGTGCACTGGAAAATAATGGTCTGTGACAGATACGTTTTGTTAGCAATAGGATCTTCAACCGTCCTCTGAAGGTACGCGATGGTTACTAACGAAAACACACGCAATCGTGTAAGCGGTCATGAAGACCATGACCCCAGTGATGAGGTTCTTGTAAAGCTTTTTGGAGGCGATTCGATGTAGCGACGACCCAACAGCAAGCTTGACTAAACAGATAGCAGCCAGGAAAAGGGGCTGAGAGACGAAGGCCATTTGCATCGCTACCGGGTAGTCTTTGACGAAATCAATGTCTCCTACATGGCGGCCAACTCCGTGAATGACCTGCGTGATCAGGACTCCTTGACC